AATACTAAATCGAGTAAGTCAAGCTAGGAATACGGCAACTCGAATTTATATTAATTAGCCATCTTCAAACACTCAAGGTAATTCCGGAATTGTCTCATATGGAATTATTGTCGTACCCTAAGTTTCGGCATGCGGCAAATAATTGTAAGCGTTTCAAGATTTAGCAACCTTCTATCCTTGTGACTTCATTTTGAAAAAACGGGTTTCGCTGATTCTTGATTCTGATTACTGAGAGCTGAATCCATAATCAGATTAAAAGAGCCAGTCAAAAGATTTTCTCTTATCAGCGGATTGTTAAAAACTCATAGCTCACCTCGCTCCTGCTCTCTGAAGATCTGCAGCGTATTTGATTTCAAGGAAATTGTAAGTGCAAAGATTAGCAGCCGTAAACTTAAAGGATGACACTTCAAAGTAAACACGTCGACCAAGAGGAGCCTTAAATGAATTCAAGATGATCATCTGCAGATTGTAAGAATTCGTGATGGCTACCGTTATAACAAAAGAGCAAATGACAGCCCCGCTGACAGTGAGTGTCTTAAGTGAAGCGTCGGCTACAAGGTCTCCAGATCCACATTGGGCAGGATTTACAGCTGCGCGGTCGCAAAGAGTTCCACCAAGTCCAGAAGGGCAACGACAGGCTCCGCAGTTCTTTGGATCGGTGTAGCCACCGTTTAGGCAAGGAAGAGTTGCAGCACACGTCTCTTGAAAGTCAAAACAGAAATTTCTAGTTTTGCAGTGCATGATTGAGTAACTGACCATTGCAGTAGGCCAAGTTGATCCTTTTCACATCCATAAACGAGGGTCCTTCGCGTTGACCGATGGTTTGCTGGTAGTTTGTGTCGAGTGTTTGAATAGTGTAGCGACCATTGGAGCTAAAGCTCTGTAATTGAGTAGTTTAAGCGAATGTAAATTTTGCTTCTCAATGTGCAAAATAAATTGACATTCAGTAGTTTTTTACTTACAAATTGATCGTAGTGCATTACTGAGCCATAGTCGAATCCAACACCATAATCTTCCATCGTTGACCTGCAGCATATTCTCTTATTGAAATTACAATGAAATTCAACAAAACCTACCTGGCTTGTTTGGTAAACTGGCTGAGATAGCCGTTCTGAATATTTTGCGAAACTATGGATACGTAGCTATCACGATCGTAACGGCCCTGCTCATGGTAGAATCCGAGAGCGTGGCCTAAATGTCATCACATATCGCCGATAACAAAGATTTGGACATCACTGAGCACTTTTTTAACGCTAACTACGTCTTTTGCGCAAAATCTAGGCGAACAAGAAACTATTCAAAGAAGTCATTCCCCTTGTGTCAAAACTACTAAAAATACGAACTTCAGCTTACTCACACCTTATTCACTACTTTTTGATTTGATATTATGAGATGTGGGAATTTCTCTACACGACAGAGCTATTCTGAAG